AGAAAGTTTTCACTGTTTCTTCTTTTTCTATTCACATGTACCGCTCTCGAAAGTAACTTATCATGCCAATTGATAAAGACAACGTATATAGATAACCTCTAGATAGAAGCGGAGCATCCTTTATTTACTAAACGATTTGTTCTCTCTCTTTCTCTGAAGGGAGATGGGACGTCTCGGACAGTCTTTGATGTTTCCACTTCGAAGGAGGAAGAGGCTACAATATATCACGCGAGGGTATATGTTTGTATAATTACTGTAAGATTAACTGATCAGTGAAAAAGTTTTGATATACAGTTCGTAGTTGTATATCGTTTTTACTGCAACTTTTGATCTAGATCAACTTCTTTTCATAAATTTAGACGATATCTTCGCCTTTTCGGGGCTGTTGTATCATCACAAAATACTATATCATGGTATCGTATCTAAGGTCTATTGTATAAATGCATCTCAGAAACGCACATTGATCTAATGAACAGATGTTAATTAGACAATAAGGTAAGCTCCTAACGAAAACTGATCGTTACTGGTCTGACTCAGATGAATAATTCGTGATAAATTTTGTAAACTACATTATGATTATTACTCGTTCAGAGCACTATGGGATAAAGCGAGTCAGTACTTGAAATTCGGCTGGTAATTCCGCTATTTCTCATCCGTTTTCAACCGTAAAAATTTGATATCAAAAGGTTTATAGAGCCGACTGCTGCGCACACGCTGATATAAAGATTAGCCATGCTAGTTTTCCGAATGGGAGTATCGTGGTTTTGATTGGCTCTTTTTATCTCATACAAGGTAAAAAGAATTAATTCATGCAAATGCGTGGATATTAAGTTAATCTATGATTTAATCTTTATTTTTGCTACCTTCCTTAAGCTAATTAGACCACAATAAACGGCGTCGTATTTTCAATTTATTTATTTGGTATAAAAGAACAGTTAATTTATTACAATACATGGAGTTTTCGAACAAGCACTTCTATTGACTCTCAGACAGCGACTTTAGCACTACTCTGAATGTAAAATTTGTTCAGCATACCAGAATCTCTAAAACATGCAAAAACCGGCTCCTAATTTCTAGAATGCAAGAAATTTTATGATATTCTAAAAATCTATAGTATTTTGACCATGTTTTACTGGTAATGTGATTAATCATTTTACTTAAAAACATAAATTAATCCTTATGTCATTAACAAACTAGCATTCATTTTAAAAACTTCATTCCCATTTGAAAAACTAACATGGATAATCCTTATACTAGTCTGTGCGCAGCAGTCGGCTCTACAAACCTTGTTGATATCAAAAAATATACTCCCTCGAATTCGAACACTTGAGCAGAACATGTTCTTTATGTGATCAGCGCTGTCGAACATGCTCTATAGAAAGGACAAACAAAAACCATAAAAAGCAGCTTGTCCGTAAAAAAACCCAAATCCTTTCACTTCGATTCGACTGAACATTTCAGAAATCAAATTCAGTTCGATTCGACACAAAGCCGAATAGAATCAAATGTAAAATCATTTGATTCGTTTCGGTCTCTGGTACTTTAGACGAACCGCGATACATGTAGTGCACATAATTTATCACAAATTGTTCATCTGAGTTATCTGAGTAACGATCAACTTTCGTTAAGAACTTGTCTAATCATATTTACTGAGTAATAACACTTGATTTCTGGGGAAAAGATCTTTGTATTGCACCACGTAACATTTTCCTCTAAGCAAACTTCTCTCTTTCACCAATCACTAATTAGTGCATTTCACAGTCGGAAGAGGTTCGCTTTCTTCATTATTCACAACTACGGTTGCTTTCTTTTTATATTGAATCCATCATCATTCAAAGAAGAATGAACGGACATCAAGTGTACCTCATAGTAAAAGTATTTCTTAAAACATGGAACATATAACAATTACCGTGTAATAACACTTCAGAAATAATGAACACCAAGGAGAAGTAGAATCGAAGAGGTAAACACGATCGCTGTATTCTTGTCATCTTTGTCTCTCGATACAATACACTTCAAAATAAAGTTGATTAGACCTTTTAAAAACTATATAAATGCTCTTTAAATTTGAAGAATATTTCATGTTTTTCACGCTTAAAATTAAATTCTATCTTTATGTCCGCTGATACTTCGCTTAATTCTGAAGACAAATTATAGTTTTCAAAGAGAAGACTAGAGTTAACCGTATAAAGAATGTTGTTTCATTCTTTCTCTTTAGTCAAATGAACAGGTGAACATTTATCTCTTTCTCTCTCTCTCTCGCCTTCTATATTATTATGTACCGTATGTACCAATTATTTCATCATTCTTCGTTTTTATACGTCAACTACTCATATTTTTACTTTAGTTTTTTTCGCATGCATTAATCACTGACCGATATATGTGTTTTTGTCAAGTACAGATCTAACTCTTTTCAATATTTGCTCGTATCAATGTCAGAACATAATTGAACTTTCATTTTATATGTATACATACTGTCTCTAGCTAGATGATGATTTAGTCTTAAGAGTAAAACCATTTGTCTTTTTACCTCTTTCTCGAGTATTAATACAAACATATAGTTTTAACGATAAGGAAGAAAAAATTAGTAAAAGTCAACAAAAAATTATATATTAATAGCTTCTAATTGAAAATATTTTAAAAAACAATTTCGAATCTACACAGAAACTGTATAGTAATTAACTTCAAATGTAAACTGCATTGTTAGTAATCACTTACATGCACTTAACATTAAACTAAAATGTAGGCAGTTCATCAGGCAAGTACTACAACGACCGTTTCGGGACATCGAAACTTGAAAAGGTCTCGCTGTTGTAGTGTCCTAGTAACAGACTACAAAAAACCAAGTTGCTACTTCATACTAATTCTAACATATACTATATAAGACAAAAACTTATATAGAAATAAAGAACTTTTTATAACTTCAAATATTGGAACAATATGGAAGACCGCCATATTAGACTTTACTTTTATTATTTGTTTGTGGGAATCTTGCTTTAAAAAATATGTTCTTATTTAGAATGCAACATCAACAACAACATTTTTTAAGGTGTCAGATAAAAATTCTTTGAATGTTCTGTCTTTCGAGAAGCCTTAAATGTTTCATCAACACATATGCATACACACATAGATGACCTACTTGCAATTCCATTGTACAGTCACAATCCGATATGTAAATAAAAAAAATTTTCGATCCCTGTCAACTGCCACAGAAAAAATCATGGCTTATCCATGGAATCCTGAGATATTGAACACGCAAGGTCCAATAAGCCGGTTTTCAAAGCCTGTGAGGAAGAACGGTCCTTTCCCAACTTAATCTGATATCTGAAGTGGGGTGAAATCAGTCTATCTATGATCCTCACTTTCTACTTTCAGAATATATGACTAGTTAGCACTTTCGTCATACTTTTCTCAGTCATTTTTTGTAAAAATCGCATCTACAATTGCTATTCGATTTTCTGTCACGCGAGATTAAAAATGATCTTCACACTGAACAGACTATCTGGAAACGCTGAGGGAGGTCTTAAATGCAAGCCAAAAAACGGCGCCCGAAAAGGATAAAAAAGAAAAACACGTGAATTACGTCTTGGCAAGAAAAAATCTGAAACAAAACTTAAAATTACAATTTTCACATTAAATGTCGCACGAGATTTTTGATTTTGCTTTAGCTATAACTCTCTTATTTTTTGAGCGTTTGAGACGAAACTTTGCTCCTTTTATCTGCTCGTTATGGTCAGTTACTGGCGAAAAAGCAGCGTCTGAGAACTCATGATTCGAGAGAAAATGAGAATTAGCTAAAATTGTCACGCGAGATTATTCGCGAATAACCGCATTAGAACTAAAGGCAAATCCAATTTATTATATATCAATCGATTCCTCATTAAAGGCTCTATTGACCTCATTATGCAGTCGTGTCGGACTGTGTCTGATAGAGCAGAAAATTCATTAATAAGGGCGAATGACTAAAAATTCAAAATTTTTCGGTGTAACTGCCCTGACAAGTGTCTCAGGATGTATGTCTCTGCATCCATTCATCGAAATCTGTCAAATGGTGTATCATACTTGCATTTTTATGCCATACACAAAGTTTTTTCTTAAAAGAACTTCAAGGATCTAGACCGATTCTCTGGTGAGTTCGAGTATCTTGGCCATATTGAAAGCGGTAGTCGGGAAACTTTCTTCCTGTTATCATCTCATATAGTACAAGAAAACAGACGATTCAGTTTCTCTATATATGACAATTTTTTTTACCGAATTTTCCATCTAAATGGTACAATGGAATTGCAAATTCTTCATATATTCATATGAAAATTATTTGGGCACTTAACTTTGGATTAATATTGTTTTCACACTAAGAAGATCTTAATGCCCGGAAATTAACTTTTTACTCTCTCCCTTTCTCTCTGTTCTAACTAATCATTAATTATCACATTATATTGTATAACAGGATTAGTAAGATGATACATTACATCTAAAAAAAAGTATATTAAAGCTTATCTTAGGAGATATTAGACCAATCAACTGGTTTATTCAGACATTAGTGTAATAGTTTTGTAGATTTTAAAGACGTATCAGATCTTTTTCAAGTTGAACAAACAGAGATTTGTAGCTTATAATAAAATACAACAATTAGTGAATAAATTAATGATCACGTCTACTTCTAAAGTCATATTAGATCTAAAGCGTTACTTGTTATGTCAATGTTACCCTTCCATTGAGCGAAAATTATACTGATTCTATAGGATTTTTTTCGGTAGTCTTTGGCTATGAGGATTGAAACATTTCTACAATTTTATGCGTATATAGCAATAAACAAACTACAACTGTTATAAGTTTTAAATGCACTATTTATGGCGTATTTAAGCTTCAACTTTATAGGAAGAAAATCCCATAACAATATTCAACAGACATGGAATTTTTTTTCCTATTTCTAAAAGTTGAAATACAATTAAAAAACGTTAACAAATACAGTAGTAATTGACTATTTACAGTTTTAGAAATTACCACGGTCTCCATACTTTACTAGGTGAGTCTAATGTTGAACATGAATCCGTTGAATTAGAACAATCGGATGAATTTGCTGTTGAATCAGTTTGTGGTAAAATAAATATATATTGATTATTTGTTGATGAATTTGCCGCTAGTAGTGAATAATTTTCTCTACCACCAATATAAAGTTCAGATGAATGATGATGTGGTTGTGTTTGACAATAAGTACTATTTTTTGTTGTTCCATAGATTGATGGTGGTGAAGTATAATACTGACATTGTTGTTGCTGTTGTAAATGATGTTGTAAAACATGTGTAGTAGATAGAGGTACGTGATGTACTTGATTATTATTATTCGTATTGTTATGATCTGTTAAACGAGAAGTAGATAATGTTTGAATTCGAGTCGATAAATGATCAATAAGTTTATTTTTTAATTCTGAATCAATATGAGATGTAGTAGTTAAAAATCGAATAATTTCATTTGCACATTCTCCATAACCTGAACGATATTTTGAAATAATTGATGGATCAACAGCAGCAGCAGCTAGCAAAAAAATTAAAAAAAGATGAAAAAATAGTTGTCTTATAGTTAAATTTAATATTAAAGAAAAAACTTACCAACTAGTTTTTGTTTATGTACAAGTTTTAAATGTTTGACAGTCATTTCCAAAATATCCGCTTTTTCCAATTTGTGACTTCGAACATTCTAAATAGAATCAATCATCAATTTTAAAAAATTATTCAATATCTTCTTGCGAGAAGAATAAAATGAACAATTAAACTCTACTTACTCCACTACTAGCGCTATCTAAAATTAAATTCTTTAATTCTTCGAGACTTCTATTAATTCTTTCTCGTCGACGTTTTTCCATAATAGGTTTTGTATTCTAAATATATATAAATGAGATATATCATAGAGAAGTGATAATGTGATTATCTTTTCACTTACCTTTCGATATTCACTGTTAAAGACATGGATTCGATCGGTAGGCATTATTTCGAAATAAACAGAAGAGTTCAATTTAATAGTTCCATTATGAGACTAAATTTTATGTTTACGGAAATTGATTTTGTTCACTTCTGATTCGATGACCTAGACAGTAGGTAATTATTATTACTTCTTTTTCTTCTTCTTTTACACGATTATACACACATATAGAATAAGAAAAAATGAGAATAAGAGAATATCATCTATTTTGCGTGTGCGAATTGTGATAAGCGCACGCTCAGTGTAATAATATATCTAACACTTCGTCTTTTCTTATTCTGTCCAGTATAAGATAAGGAACTCGTGCTCTATTAGAGAAACAAAGATTATTTTTTTCTTTAAATTCTGTTGGTGATTTTGAGAGAGAAAAATATTCTAACCAATAGAAATAGAAAGAAATAGAATATATATATATATGTGCGTATCAACTAAGATGAATCTAATGTATATAGTTGAACGAGTATACAAAAGAAAATTAAGTAGCAGTACAAGCATTTAGGTAAACCTTGACTATAGAGAGACACCTCCTACTTTTTCGTAACTACTTCGAAATTGAGAATCATTTAGGATATGTTACTTACTACTTGTTGAAGATCAACAAACGGGTAAACTAGGAGTCCGACTTTACCCTTGTTTTAAAAATTTGAAAAGTTAATGATTAAAAATGGGAAAAAAATGTTCACAAATTAACTACAAATTTTTGAAAAACCTCTTCCTTCGTCTAGGGGCGTAACAATTGGATGTAGGTAGATGAGACCCACATTCTACTTTCTATGATCTTTTGTTTTTCCTCCAGCAAATGGTTTTTTGAAATGTGAACCGCCACTCTGTCATCAAGAAAACAAAAAACATCAGAAATTGTTGTCCATTTCTATACACAATGTGTCGAACATATAACGTTTTAACATTTTGTCTTTTCAATTTAACCGTCTTAGAAACACTATAGATATTAGTATTCTGCGTGACAAATATTGCCTTCAAGACATCTAGAAATCGAAATTTTATATGATGATGTTGATATCATGAAAGAAAGCCGTCTTTAGAACATTATCGATATCTATTACTGTTTTAGGTATATATATGAAAATTTTCTTGTTCTTTTGAATGATGAAAACAAAGCGAAAGAGAGAGAAAAATGCTTTTTACCTTACAACTACAAGCTAATTAATTTTATTCAACAGCCCGTTTTCACAAAGCATGAAAACAAAAAATGAGAGTGAATATGTTGGTCACGTACTCATCTGTCAACAATACGATAAAAACACATTGTTTTCAGTTTTTATCTATTTTAAAATTATAATATCACACACCTGAACGTATCTATACACTTTGATCTTTACTGTCAAGTGGGGATACGCCTACCCGTGTAACATAATCTGGAAATTGTAATGTATGTACATGTATCTGGACAAAGGATATCAATATCGGAAGAAAATGATTCTGTTAAAACTGATCATCTACTTTAAATAGTAGAGAAGGTTGCGAGAAGGGAGGGGAGGGGGTGGATAAGTTCAAAAAGTTTTTCTCATTAAATCTGTTTTTTTTTAAATGAAAAACAAACGTTTCAGAAAAGATGTCTGGAGTTCATTTCACAACGGAGCTCCATCAAACTGAAAGATTGATTGAAAATTTTTGCCTTAGACTTCTACAAAATATAACAGAATGGGTGCAGTCAACCATACTGATCGCGAGTATCACGTTCTAAATTTAGAAAATAACAGTGCTCAACCAATTGTACTCCTAGTTAAAAAAATGAAAGTTTAGACACGCGAATAATACATCATTCGACTCAGTTTTCAAACCGACCTCGAATATGAGCAAAAACACACTGTTAATAATATATCGTAGATTTGTTTGATTTGAGCAAAAATTTTTTATTTTGATGTATCACGCCCACTTTTTTTCTACTTAAAATGTATCATCTTGATAGAGCACAAAAAGTTCTATACTTTTGTTGTATACAAAACTTTGTCTTCTCACAGAAAACAAGGTTTGTTTTACCTGAAAATATTACTATTGTAATCTGGCATAACTACACCGTTCTCATGTATATATCTAATCGAAAAAATTGAGAACATTTTTCTAAACTTTATCCGTCTTTTAAGTGAATATAGAAATACTGATCAATTAGTATGGTTAGAAAAACAATAACTTACATACAGGTGTGTGTTATTTCACAGATTTTTAGAAAACCTGTTGAAAAAAGAATTGGTATCCTCCTAAACAGTATTACTCAGATGGAACTTCTGGCAGCTATTTAAACATGCGCTGGCAATTGATAGCATAATGAAATTATCTTGAGAAAATTATAGCATAATCCTCATTATATTTCAACATTTCAGCCGGTAACAAAACTGTTACTATCCTATATTATTGTACAAAAATATTCTGAAAGTAAATTTCACAATTTTTCAACATTTTCTGGTTTAATCTTAAGAGAAAAAAAGTCTATTTAATGTTTCTGAAAATCATTCCTTAGTATAATGAGTGTAAGAAATTTAGCGAGAACTCAAACTGGATCACATTTTGTGCATACATTCTTCTATTTATTTGATGTCCCTTATATTTGTATATCGATCAATAAGCACCTGTGGAGCGCATTATACGTTTTTTAAAATCCATTTTTTTTACGTAAAATCCTCTTTTGTTCATTCCAAAAGCATTTTTAATCAAAATAAATGTTATATTTGAGAACAGGTCAACAAACTGCATCAAACAACGATTTTTTGAAGAAAAATCTTTCCTCAGAAAATTATCTGAATTCTCTTCAGGCGATTCTTAAAAAGAAAATGTTTTTGAAAAAAGTTTGTTTCTTCGTAAAAAGATATTTTGAGCAACGAAGAAACATGATACAGCAAGAAAAAATGTTAATTTTTCCAAAAAAAGTCCATCTGTTAAGTCAAAAATGACCACTGTAGTAGAGTGGCTCTGGAGACTTTTTGAAGAAAAGAATGTGGATAGATTTGCCATCCAACTTCTATGATTATCCGATTTACTTTTACTTATTATCAATCATAACCACGTGTTATCATTAGATTACTATTGTATATTTCGTGCTTATTTTTAACTTACACCCTCTCTGTTTTTTTTGTAAATATCCATCATGATTAGTAGTATTTTCTTTTTTTTTCATAATACATTAGTGTTTGCGTGTTGTTCATCTGACGTTTTGATTTTTATTGAAATAAATACCTAAAAGTCATGTCTGATTGATATAGTGTATTGAAATCATTATGGTATGTGTGTACATTTTGCATTTCTAATTTAACTATTATTATTTGGATTATCATCAACAACAAAAATGTAACTACTATGGATCGATTGTCATCTATCTCATCTCTTCATATTATGCGTGTATACGTTTATAACGGAAATAACTTGCTTGTCATCATCTCATATTACATATACATCATCCAAGATAGAGTTCCGCTTGTGTTAATTGTTCTTAATCGATCGACACGCCTACTATATGTGCTTTATCTCATACTAATATCTTCTATATATATATGGAATGTTTATCATTTTATATTTCTATGCACTTTACTCTATAATATATATGTTGGTGAAACAAAACAAAACAATTTTTATGATAAATAATGTGAAACAGAGTAGCTGTGATGAAAATGAACAAATTTGGTAACTGAGCTTAGCATATATATGAGAATAACAGCAATCATTAGGAAACGTTATGAATAATACTATTAATTATTCTTAGAGTTATACTCTTCTATACTTATCACACAGATATACATACACAATAAGAGTGAAAAATGTAATTAACTATTGCCTAATTGTTTGTCATAATTAAGATCATGAGATGTCTGTTGATCAACAATAATCATTAGTATTCATACTCTCATTGATAAAATTATCTTTTCTAGTTACATAATACTATTTAATGAAGATGATGGTACACAAGTGCTCTTATTTATGACAGTCACAATTGAATATTGTAACACATTAACATTTCTCTTCCATCCTCTCCTCGAAGTTCTGAATAGGAAAAATCATCTCATATGTAATATAATGGTGGAAGAAAAAATATATATTCTGGTTATATATCACACATTACAAAATACAGGTGCCTAATAATAAGTTGCATGAAATATGGTGTTATACACTCTAAGGTCTCTTTAATTAAAAGTACGTGCATTTTTTCATGATTAAGTATTTCTATTAAATAATTTTTTGAAAATAATAAAAGCAAAAAATAAGAGAGATATTAGTTCTATTACTTCCAGTCATAGAGAAGAATGAACCGGTTGAGCAAGACTCTGTTGTAACTGGATAATTCATTTATGGTTGAAAATCTACATGGATATCCTAATTTTTTCTTCTTTCATACTAAACAATTGTTTTGATCTTTATGTGTAATAAATGTTCGCGATATCTATCTATCGATAATTATAGAATGTATATCTCTCTCTCTTTCTCATATTAGATGAATGTTTGGTATTTCTTCTTCTTCTATTCTCTATTAATCCTCTGATATGTCTCTATCGCCTGTATATATTTAGTCACTTTTACTCATAAATTGGAAAGTATAGAAGACATCAAACTAAATAGTTAGATCTAAAATGTGAATAGAGTCAAATTACAAATGATATGATTGATCTTCTCTATTCTTTCTGTCTTTTTATCGTTCAATAAAAATAAATGTTTTTCTTCTTCTTAAACAAAGGTGTGATAATGTGTCGTCGTTGTCGTCGCACAATTACCTTGATTTTCAAAGTTCTCTCTTTGTTGCTCGATCATCATTATCATCATCATCACCATCATTTTCATGTACATATACAAAGTGTTCATATGTACAGATAGTTATTCTCTTCTTTTCTTGTTCACACTTCTTCGAAGAGTGAGTGATCTCTCTTGTCAGTAGTACAGAAGTAGATCGTTTGTACTACTCACTATAAAGCATGTCATATTAACACACATTTTAGAGAAGAAAATGTCAATGAGCTTAATATCTTGCCTTGAAACGAATGAAAAAAAAAGAAAACAAGTAT